TTCAGAAAGGACAGGGTTGGGAGGAGGGGGGGTATGCATGTATGTTAAAAATAATCTAACTGTACACATACGGGATGACATCACGGCAGAGAGTGGTGACGACGTGGAGTCCTTGTGGCTAGAACTAGAGAAGACTGATGCTAGTCGTAAACTACTTGTGGGTGTTTGTTATAAACCCCCGAATATAGGGGAAGAGGAGGAGGCTCACCTACACTCCCAAATAGAAATAGCTGGGAAGCAGGGTAACGTTGTTGTAATGGGTGACTTTAATTATCCGGGCATCGATTGGTCTACTGGAACCTCTCAATCGATAAAGGCGGGCCGTTTACTGAACCTGTTGAGGGACAATTTCATGGATCAAATGGTTGAGGTCCCGACTAGGAAAAATGTAATATTAGATTTAATAATTTTCAATAATGGGGACTTAGTTGCAGACATAGCCATTGGGGAGACACTGGGTAATAGTGATCACAATGTGAGTACTTTTAATATTGGGTACAGAACACTAAACTACAAGAACACTAAACTTCAGGAAGGCAAACTTTGATAAGCTGCGCCAACTAGTATGCGACACCGAATGGGACAATTTATTTCTCACACTGAACATTGACCAGAAGTGGGATTATTTTAAGAATACAGTACATAATGCTATCACCAAGTGCATACCATTAGGTAACAAAAATAAAACATCAATAACTTAACCTGCATGGCTAAATAAAACAGTAAAACAACACATCAAGGGAAGGAGCGTGGCATTTAAAAAATATAAGATGGAGGGGACGGCTTTGGCATTCCAGAACTACAAGGAATGTAATAAGAGATGTAAACATGAAATTCGGGCAACTAAAATAGAGTGCAAAAAGCATATTGCTACAGTTAGTAAAAGGAACCCCCAAAAATTCTACCAATATATAAACAGTTAAAAAGGTAAGGAAGGAGCAGATTTACCCAATAAAAGATGAGAATGGGAGATTAGTAACAAACGACAGGGAGAGGGTCGAGATGTTGAATTTTGTTTTCTCCTCGGTATACACTCAGGAAAAGGATGGGTTAAACCTCCCTGGCGCTATGATTATGGAGGATTTTAGCATGCCAAAGCGGTACATTGTTTTTCATGGCAATTTGTTGTTTTATATTGTAGGCCTGTAATTCTTAGTAAATCTTAGGAATAACTCACCTAAATCTGTCCAAACAAGAGTCCAGTAGACATCCTGGGTATGATAAGGTTTGAAACACGAAATCATAATATAATAAATAATTATAATAAGACAAAATTGAAGTGAAAGTTTGATAAATATATGTAATTATAGCAGATTACATTGCATTGTGTGTATTCTGTGTAAATGTCATGTTTTCACTTTGGAATTTCCCGCCAGCCCTGCCCTCCGCGGTGGCGCCCGAAAACGAAACTGAAAGCCGAATGCCGGCATCGGCCGGGCGAACACAGCAGAGGACACCGCTGGCTCGCAGGGACAAGGTAAGTGACACTTTTGCGCAATCCCAAGTGTGGCTCAGGGTTACCGCTCTTGTACTTAAAATTAACCCCGAGCCACAATCGAGAATACCGCCAGGGATGTTTATGTAGATAAGAATGCAAGTAGCTTGTTGCAAAATATACCTCAGTGGCTGACGATAGCCGGGGTTCAACATAAACTTGAAAAACGTAATGCCAATAAAGCTTTAGGACCAGATAACCTGCACCCCAAGGTACTTAAAGAACTCAGCCAGGTTATAGCAAGACCATTATTCATCATTTTCAAGGACTCCTTAATGACTGGTAGAGTACCAAGTGACTGGCGGAGGCTACGGTAATACCGATATTCAAAAACGGGTCAAGATGCCAACCTGGGAACTACAGATCAGTCAGTCTTACATCATAGTATGCAAACTGTTAGAGGGAATGATAAAGGACTACTTAGTAGAGTTTGTTCATGATAATGGTATAATAAATGACAATCAGCATGGATTTAGGAAGGACCGTTCATGCTAGACCAACCTCGTAACATTCTATGAAGAGGTAAGTAGAGATCTGGATGGAGGGAGGCCAGTGGATGTGGTTTATTTGGATTTTTCAAAAGCATTTGACACAGTACCACATAAACGCTTACTACACAAGCTGAGGTCTATGTGCATAGATGAAATGTTGTGTACATGGATAGAGAACTGGCTACAGGAACGTGTCCAGAGAGTATCGATAAATGGTTCATTTTCAGATTGGTCTAGGGTCATGAGTGGTGTGCCTCAGGGTTCTGTGCTAGGCCCCATACTATTCAACCTGTTTATTAGCGATATTGGGCAGGGCGTGAATAGCCATGTTTGTGTGTTTGCTGATGATACTAAAATCGGGAGAGTAATAGACACGGACTTAGACAGTAGAACATTACAGGAGGACCTGGATAAAATAGGGGAATGGGCAACTATATGGCAGATGAGGTTTAATGTTGATAAATGTAAAGTAATGCACTTTGGGGTTAAAAATAGGCAAACGGAATACACATTAATGGGTACTCCTCTAGGTAAGTCAGAAATGGAAAAAGATCTGGAGGTCATAGTAGACCACAGATTGAAAATTAGCTTGCAATGCCAGGCTGCTGCAAACAAAGCGAGCAGAGTTCTGGCTTGTATTAAAAAGGGAATTTACTGTAGAGACAAATCTATAATTTTACCACTTTATAGATCGCTAGTTCGACCTCATCTGGAGTATGCGGTCCAGTTTTGGTCACCAATACACAGAAAGGATGTCCAATCATATCCCCACTTTATAGATCGCTAGTTCGACCTCATCTGGAGTATGCGGTCCAGTTTTGGTCACCAATACACAGAAAGGATGTCCTTGAGCTGGAATGAGTCCAGAGAAGGGCAACCAAACTAATTAAGGGGATGGAGGACCAAAGCTATGAGACAAGGTTACGAAATGTAAACATGTTCACGCTGGAAGTGAGGAGATTAAGTGGGGATATGATTTTTATGTACAAGATGTTCAATGGGGATAGCAACATCAGCAATAAACGTTGTACGGTAAACTCCATAACTAGAGGCTACCACCTAAAATGGTGGAGAAAAGATTTCAGCACAAGGGGCGAAGGGGATTCTTCTCAGTTAGAGCAGTTAGGGTTTGGAACTCGCTGCCGCAAACAGTGATTTCAGCTGAGAGTATTGAATCTTTCAAAAAGCATTTGGACGATTTCCTCAGACAGTAACATTCAGGGGTACAGATACTTTTAAGAACAAGATCACACAGGGACTCATACACACGCAGAATCACATGCATACACGCAGTGGGTTGAACTTGATGGGCCTGTGTCTTTATTCAACCTCAAATATTATGTAACTATGGATACTATTTTGTCCAGTGTGTGAGCACAAAAAGTGAACAGCCTATTTGCCTTTAGTAAAATCAACCACACCATCTCCAGTTTACACTGATTACAGTTGATGATTGCTGATCTTGAACTTTGCCTATTTCACATACCCGATCCTCCATCATGGCACCAAACTACTTAATTAGAAATCCATCATTTTGTAGGCAAGGCAATTACTATTTAAATGACATTTAGCTTCCCCTCCCTCCCCAACAAAAAACCCAACACA